ACTGCGCTGGACATCCCAATATATTTTCATAGAATCTCAAATGGGAGCAGGTAGCGATACTATCAAACACAGTATATTCAACAAATAGAGTGAAAAAAGGACTTCTTCATTTCAGCCTGCACGCTCTGGTTATTTGTAGTTTTTAGATTTCGACTACTAAAAACGCGTGTTCATAAACATTGACAAATGTCAAAGGTAAAGGAAAGGATTTCAAACTTCTCTGGCTGGGAATTGAACCCGACAAGACTGATTTCAATTAAAAAAGGAACCATCGTTATTATTGAACTTCATGATACAGCTGAGGACGGTACATTCAGAGATACAGAACGGAATTCGGCTGCGCCTACGGACCTTACAGGCAGTCTCGGGGAATCAATCCCAGCCCAGACCGCTGCCTGAAAACCGCGGGTTCAAGACAGTCCGAGGACGACAGGAGAAGAAAGAAGATCATACTTACTGGGTCGGACAGTCAGAGTGGTTCCTTTTCCAAATATCAGCTTAGCATCAACCACTTTATTAATCCTTATACCAAAAACCCCTGGTGCAAACCATTAAAATCAAACTGTGCTTTATATATCATACTCTCTTGTGCGTTGTCTTATAGTGTATATTAGGTCCCAAAATGGAAATGTTGGAAATAATTAATGTTTGAAATGCTACAGATGAGGGCTACAGAGGCCTACAGATGAGGAGCTTACACAATTAAATCTATAAAGCAAAATGCGCAGTGCTCTAATTAAGACACTTTAAAAGTTGCCCCATTTAAAAAAAATGAGTATAAATACATAGTGAAATGTTTAAATATAGTAATGTATGAAATGCAGCTTACTTACCCCAAAATTGTAGACACCCATGCTCCCCTAAATGTATATTTTAATCAAATGTTTAGTCGAAGGTTTTTGTACAAGGCCTTATGGAGCGTTTATCACTGTGGTACCCCAGTCCGCACAATGAAATACGATCGTACAAAAACCCTTAATATAAAACAATATCAAAACAGTGAGGGAAAGAGAGATCTTTTGGATGGGGAAGTCCAGAGAGGGAGAGAGAGAGAGACATGCACACAAACTAAGAGAGAGAGAGACAGCAGAAAATACAGTTTGCTCAATATTTCGTTTTGAAGCATGATACACTATTCCTGATGCTATTGGCATTACAGCTAGTGGTCATGCTTGTGTAACTCCAGTTTATGAACATGAAATCTAGTACTTGACTGACCAGCCAATTACAGAATAAAAGTTCTTGGATTGGCTTTAAACAGCGCATTAAGAATGCTTTAATGTCTAAATGGTTCTTTGCAATTAGTTTCAAGTGAGGATTGAATCCCCTGATAAGCATGATGAGAAAATCAAGACAGAACCATGAGTGCTGAAAATGGAGTCAGGTTTACTATAGAATTGCAATTAGCATTTGTTTAAGAACAAAATTATGCATGCAAACCAGAGGAAGCTTTTAATTCTCCTCAAACATACTGTATGCTTGTCGTATACTCACATTATCTTATTGGTGACAGAGGAGAATCTTAAAGAACACACGAATCCCTTTCTTGTGCATTACTGCCATCCTAATGATGAGTTGAAATGTCCTAGCTAGAGTGACTATGAATCCCTATGACTTGTAAAATACCACCAGTACCTCATTATTCATTGTTTTTTAGCCATCTAGCCCCTGTCGAGCCTCAGTGTCAGTCATGTTAAATGTAGTTAGTCCTGAAGGTGTTTGCTCTATAACACAGGGAATGTTATTGACATTCTATAGTAGACAAAAACTGCGGGACGATTCTTTTAATCCAGTGTTTCCCTGGTCCTGATGACCCCCCACACCTGTTGGGTTTCGTCTCAGCCGAGCCCTCAGTCACACCGTCAAACCCCTACTAGCAAGAGTTTAGTTTGAACTGGTTGGTCTCAGCTCTTCAACATATTTGAGTCTTATCTATTGTATTTTGTAAGTGAAATAAAATCTCAGACCTGTGACTTGGAAGAAAATACATATATTCAAATGAAACAACCTCTTAGAGATTGAGTAAAGCTTCAGTTATCAGATGAAGGTGGGCTGGACTGAAAACCAGCAGGTGTGTGAGACACCAGGACCCGAATTGACAACCCCTGTGTTGTCTCTGTTGGTTCTGAGGTTAGCACCTAAAAACTCTGCCTCATTCCTTCTCAGGCTGCTTGTCCAAAACTCTAAATCCTTATTTTTGGAAGGTTACATACAGTAAAAAGATACCATACGCATGTCACAATATTAAGGCTCTATCCTATCTGTCCCTTTGATTATGTCCTAATCATTTTAAAAGATGAGGTCAGTAATATTACCTTTGCTTGTTGGCGGTTTCACAAACTGGGTTAAGAGGGTAAAATAGTAACTGTATCTGGGCTTCTGTGTTCCCAGTGACAGTATCTCAATTTCTCTGTGGGAAGTTGAAATCTCCCAGTAACATTACATCACCCTTGTTACATCATTTGCTAACCTCAATATACAGTATAACCAGACTGTTCATATTAGGTGACTGTCACACTTATTTTTAGGACCAAAGAAGTTTCAATTCTAGCTTGAAGGTTATTTTTGAAATATAGTACATCTTAATCCTCTTCTTGATAAATAAATGTATATATGGCAAATGTAATATGTTCATTTGAGGAATAACACAGAGTTACAGCATGCATCTTAGACATAGAATTAGCAAAACAATTAAGAATGATGTAACATTAGGAATCTGACAAAGCTGTAATAATGTGGCATAACACTTCTATAAACACGAGTGAAGCTTCTTAACTGATCATTTCCTGTGTAAGGAAACTAAGGCAGCTATTAGATTTTATCTGTCAGTTAACTGTGTGGTTTCAGGATTTTGTCTTTTCACCTTCAGTATAAAATGGTCTCTCTGCATGAACAAAAGTATATCTTTTTGCCTTAAAAGAAACTGCTAGTATCTACACATAAACACAGCTCCAGTCCTGGACAGCCACAGTGTCAAGAAGAGTTCTTACTTACAGAACTGATCTACAGTAAGTCTTGTATTATGTGGTCCAACTTTTCACTTTAGCTTGAGATACAGTATAAAGAGACTTGTAACACCTGCTGGATTAATGGAGTTGTACGTCCCATGCACACAGCACATATTTTTGACTCTTTCAATAAAAGAAACACAATCTTCACAATCTGTTAGTGTTTTTAAAACTTTTTTGTTTTCAAAATAAAAAAAATCAGGGCTCCTCTCCCTGTCTTTTTACACTAAACTCCTTTCTTCCTTCTGTCCTCAATACTAGCTGATATCCTGACAATACAACATTTGCATTACATGGAACTCTGTTCTGGGATCTCTGTTTAGCACATGTTGTACATGGTGCCTCTTAGTCAGATTTGTCACCACTACAGACTCGATCTTCATTGTGAAGTTGCTGCTGTGGTTTTGTAACTGCCTGTCTGATAGGATACAGGATGCAGCAGACCTTTCTTGAGTAACTGAGGTACATCTGAGGTCATGTTTACTGACTAAGAGCGACTGTGCACAGTTAGTGATTTTGTGTAGCTGTTGTGTAGCCACCATGTAGCTGTTGATGGTGCTGTAATAAAAACCTTCATTTAATTTGATTTCAACTGGACCTCCTTATTCTTTTCCCAGTGGTTCAGACAAACCATGACTGTGATGGAGAAGAGGCAAGATTTGATCACTGCCCGAAAACATTGGTGACTGTGGACTGCGGTCATCTTTACACCACACTTTAAGGGCTACAGTATCTTAATATTACAGTGCTTAATTTGGAATTCTGTTTTAATCTTGGCTTGGCTTTGTCACTTTACTATGTGAACTGTTATCAGAAAGTACCTTATTCCTTGGAAGAGTCTATCCTGGGAATGTAAGACACAAAGTGGGGCCCCTCCATGGATGAGATGCTAGTCCATTACGTTATTTTGTGTGCACGCATTTGCTAGAAAACCAGATCACCTGGTAAGAACCCACATAATCCTGGAGAGACTATGCCAACTCCGTTGTGGGATTTTGTTATGTGTGCTTTTTGATGGGCTTTGTGAAAAATGCGTAAAAATGAAATGTTTTATTATTGGTGAGCAGCGTGGAATTCAATTACCTCAAAGACACAAATTCCAAATCATATTGTGGTTAAAGTGCTTCGAAGCCCAGCTGTCAATAACTTCACCTCTTTCTTGTTACAGTGAAGACTAACCAGTCTGCATCACCACGCTTTTGTCTCACAGCTGAATAAGAAAGTATGGCAGGCAAGTTGAGCACGGGTTTTTTTTGTATTTCGGTGATCAGAGGTTTTGCCCCTTCACACATCTGAGATCCATTGACTGCCATTTCAGGACATTACACAAGGGCCAGAATGAGCTCCCTGGATTGTGAAAGTAATGTCAACATTTTAAAGGCGCATATCTAGGCTGCCCACATGCAGTCATGTGTAGAAAGGTTTATGCACCTGGACGGAGGAGCTTAGTGCTGGCATGTGCATACTGATATTAGAAGGCACTTTTTTAGTGGTTAAAATGCAACATTTTCTGAGTGCCTTGTCTTTCCTGTTGTCTCACGGGAATTTACTTCTGAAAGTAGCAAGTTTTAGAAAAAAAAAATCTTTTTTCTCCACTGATTTGCTACATGAAAGGTCTTTTCAGGTCAAAGAAGATTTGTAGCCGGCAGCCTACAACTTCTAAAATGCATACAAATACCCTCTGTAAGAATGTTTAGGGGGGAAAATACTTTGTTCTGATTTAAAAGGGTTTTGCTTCATCCAATACAGTGTTATTTTGAACATATTTGTTTTCCAAAGTGCTCGAGGAGAGGCAGGGGATTTTCTTCTGTTCGGCAGGGTAGCAGGAGAAATCAAAGCAGAAAATATTTTCTCTATAGACTGTTTGAAGTGTTCAGGATCTTTCTATTTTGTCAACAACATGAGATTTGTCTGTATAGGGTATGCTTAACATAACTACAATCACCGTGCAGGTGGATGCAAATGACAATGAAAAACAAATAGGCTTCATCATTTCAGAAAGAAAAGCTGATTTATTTGCGAGATCTACAACTTAAACAAACAAGTGTGAAAAAAGACAGCAAAACAAATCTCATGACAAATGTACAATTCATGATGTAAGAAAACATAGGCACAAAACTATTTCAGATATTGTTTCATGCTAGATTACATTATTCCCTATAGATATATGCAAAATTGGAACAGTTCCTGCTTCTCAATTCCACTCAATACTGCCGTTTCAGTCTCTGGTCTTCCCAATGGGTGCTGCAGCTCAAGACATCTGTGAAGAAGAAGAGTTCAGATCATTCTTCTCATTTCAGAGGGTTGATTGTTCCTTGTTGTTAAATGTACTAAAGTAAAGCAGGTTGTAGCATGCACAGACTGTAACGTCTCGCAGTCGCTTGTAGGGATCTGCCAGTTTAACGCTTTCACCTGTTTCACATGACTTATTGATCATGTAATTACAATTGATTGTATAAGGGTTCCTATTGCAGAAAGACATCCGAAACCAAAATGATCCTGAAACTAGGATCACGCCTCCCCCCTTCTCTCAACGAGACTCGTTTCCTACTAATCCTCTCTATTCAATTGCAGGTTTTGACTACACCTGTCTCAACTTCACACCACCCTTCCCAGAAGCCAGTTAAGCTACCAGCATGTCTTTGGACATGTGAACACGGGGGGAACATGCAGACTCCACACAGACAGCACCGGAGATATTGAACCCAGGACCCCAGCGCTGCACTGCACTGCAAGGCTTTTCCGTATAACTTAACCTTCCGCATAAATGTGCACTTAGATACTCCAATAAGCTGGGCTTGTGTTTCCATCACAAATGGGACTGCTTCCCGAGAGATCATGGGCTCGAGAAGTGAAATATTTACCTCAAAATGCAACGGCTCTCACAGTCATCAGCATATTGAAAGTCACAGTTTTCGCAAACAGGATTCTTAACCCGTTCACAGTCAAAGACATGAAATTGACTTTGACAATATCTGAAATGTAGAACACATATATATACACAACATCATAACAGTTTGAAAAGCCCAATGACACCAGCACAGGGAAACATTTTCAAAACGTTTAGGAGTTTCCAGCACTCAGCAGCTTTCATTTACAATCTTAATTATTATTCATGTACCATTTTTTTTAGAGAAAATGGAAAATATCTTTAAAGCACTTATAAATAAAGCACAATACTGAGATTCAAGTGACAGTTTTGTTGCAGCTTGCTATACCAAAATATGCATCATTGTTGCTGAATTACTGTGACTCTATAGTACAGTACATAACTACATTTTATCTTGGTTTCAATTTTGAACAAAACATGTTTCAATAATATACGGATATATTTTAGCACAGTACATATTTTTAGTTCAACCAAAACAGAGGAAAATGCAGAGAATTTACCTGAAGAATCTGGTTTTCCAGCGTTGGGGAGAGCACAATTTTCATTTTCAGAAGAAAAAGTATCAAAAAGATCTAGAATAAATTTAAAAAATGGTTATATGCTGTATATTAACATAAGAACAAGGGATTAATATATGTATGTACAGTATGTGTGTCAATCCTTAACCTTAAATGTGAAATTAAACGTCTTACATATTTGTGTCATTAGGAATATTGCTAAGTATAAGATGGTCGACATAATGTTTATCTATATTTTTGAAGACAATGGGGAAATGTACAAAACGACTTGTCCTATATTTTCGTGAGCGCTATTCTTTATGAATTACAGTGAATCACTTCACCCAACATCGGGTCCTAGAGAGTCGTTTGCAACTAAAGGACGTGAAGACGACTCAAGTACCGTTCTGCTCCGAGTCCTGGAGTCTGTTTGTGATGTTTCGGCGGGTTCCATTCATTTCGCAGTACAGAGGCTTGACGTTCGTGTCGAAAAACCCCGCCAGGTAATACAACCCGATCTGGTTCGATAAGAGCGCCTGCTCGGCGGAAGTTGAATCTTCTCGTGGCCTGTCGCCATTTTGACTCCCCAAAACCAGACTCCCCGCTTTTGGAAAGAAGCTTTTCGCCAGACAAGCCAACGGCTGACCGTCTTCCGCTGGATACAGTATAGACAGCGAGGGCTTGGTCGGGCTTTTTTCTGTGGAATGGAGAGAAGAAAACACTCTATAAGTATATACAAACACTCTCTCTATCCTACAAGTCATACGGCCTGATCCTAATGACAAATGAAAGCATGTCCACAAGAAAATTGATTTATTTAACACTAAATGTAATAATTTTTGTTCTTAATAAATATATTATTTATACATTCATTGTATTATGCAATAAATGTGATACAAACATATTAAAAACTCTTCGTTATTATTGTCAACAACAACAACAACAACAACAACAACAACAACAATAATAATAATAATAATAATAATAATAATAATAATAATAATAATAATAATAATAAAGACTCATTAACAGTAAGCCATAGTCGCCACAATCCAAAACGTTTAAAATAGGAGCAGTTATGTTTATTATGATGAGGATTATGAAAAATTGTAGCAACACTAATACCGATCAATACCCGTTGTAATAGTCAGCGCACAGTGTTCTTTATTAGGTCCATCAGGATATACTGTATCACAAATTAACTCTCTGTTATTTATTAAGCCGGTTTGATTGTGTTACTTTGCTCTGTGATCGCTGTATCACTCATCGTGCATCTTGCTAGTCGCTTTGTCCTCAGGCTCCCAGGATCAAACAACACTAAATCACCTACCAGCACAATTTGGGTACTTTATTGTCTAAAGGGCACAGATTTGAACTGTCCCGCCTTGGACTATAACAGAAATCATCGTCACGCACAGGGTTGGCACTTTTCTCTATTTAAATAATAACTTCAGATTAACTCCATTATTTCAAAGTGGCTGTTTTGATTAAATTAGTCTAGATATGTGAATACTGAAAGAAATCCGACATAAAAATGATAATTATTAATCATAATTTATTATAATCATTGTATTTAAACACATTGCTAATTCAAATGGAAACTAATATTTATCTGTGCAGCTCTGTTGTTTTTTTTTTCCTTTCAATGTTTTCTTTGGACATGAAAACTTTCAGCTGTTTATATTTTAAGAAGGCTAAAATGAAAGAATCTTACTGTTAATCTGTTGTTGTTATTATTATTTTTGTTGTTGTTACTGTATTCTGTTATCGGTGACATAGTCTATTTGCGTTTTATAATCCTGCAAATCCAGCTTCGCGATGAATATAGAGGACCAATAGACCCGTGTTCCTAGATCTATGTTTTGTACAATTGCTCGCAGGCAGATGACATTGTGTTATATTGCTGCCTCTCAGTGCTGAGACCCCCGGTTCAATTCCAGACCTGGGGTGCTGTCTGTGTGGAGTTTGCATGTTCTCCCCATGTTCACGTGGGTTTCTTCCCACAGTCCAAAGACATAGTGTGAGTGTGTGTGTGTGTGTGTGTGTGTGTGTGTGGGTGGGTGGGTGTGTGTGTGTGTGTGGGGGGTTAAGTGGCTCCTAGGAAAATTGGCCCTGGTGTGTCTCCCCCCTGATGGACGGGCGTCCCATCCAGGGTGTACCCCACCTTGTGTGCCCGTTGCTTGCTGGGATAGTGTGTGCCCTGCGGTGGAATTGTGTCCCGTCCATGGTCTACCCTGCTTCGCTGTTGCTAACTGACACGTTTAATCGACCTGCTCTCTCGTTTAGATTTTTACCGACCTATTAATAACCTTTTACATCAACCCACGTCTGGCGTATTATTCCAACAGCATCAAGATGTGGAACCTGATGCCGACTGTCTTCACCGTATTAAGAATTTGTTCTTTTTTTGGTCTAAGCCGCTCTTAATAGGTGCAAAATACACGCCGAAGAACCACAGCTGAAAATGACAGGGTGATCAAGCGCTCTTAAAGCGAGGTTTCTTTTCCTTCTGCAGAGATCTGATGGGCTACAAGCCTGAATTTACAGAGATGGACAAACTGAGAAACGGGGTACACGGCTGATACCAATTAATGCATGAATCCGTTCAACCTTTTTCACTCAAGATGAAAGGGCATTTCAAATGGAAAATTGAAATCGGCTGAAAGAAAAATCAGAAATCACCGAGAGCCCTAAGATCAGAGTTAGGAATCACTGAGTTAAACATATTTATTGAATATATAGGCCTACAGTACATCTTATACAGTAGTTTGAAAGCAGACACCATTCACTTTCGCTCTGCATGAATATAGACTATTTACATCGCCACGGAAAATCACCTGTGAAACACACTACTGTATACTTTTAATATCAATATTTCATCTTTATTTTAAATGTACATGTAGTCATATATTTATACTAGTGTTTTATTATCTGTTATGTATTCATGTGTGATAATATTTTATACCAGCTTTAACACTTACATTCAAGAATGAAAGTCAAATTAAAATTTAGGATCCTGGTTTGAAGTTCCGTCTCGCTGGAATTTTCTTTATCACGAAATTTCTTACGTGCGGAACAGGAATACTGCCATACAATCATAAACTAAACATCTCCGAATTAATTAAGTACAATACAATCTTAAAAGCCTGCAGTAAAATAAGATTAGTCTTAGACATCAGAGAGATCGGTGGCGTACCCAAATATCCGAGCGTTAGCTCTGACAGACGCCAGAAACGACCTGCTCTTCCTTCGCCTCGCTACTGTACTCGCTAGCATTTTTATAGGTATGGATTTGACTTGGATATTTCAGAGTTTGCTGACAAATCCGAGAATTGTGATTTTAAGTAGGGGGTGTACTGTAGAAAATACTTCACCTTACATACAGTTACCCAAGTGAAAAACATTTGGACATTAAAAAAAAGTATTTAGTCACGGACACCCGCCAGGATCCGATGGTTTTGCGCTCATGTTTGTTACTTCCAAACGACGTACAAATAACGTGTTTTACTTACTCGGGAGGACCGTGAGAGTTGTTCCGGTTCCAAATGTGAGCTTGTCAGCAGCACCATATGAAACACACTGAGAAACCTCACTGCTAAAACTACTTAAGGCGTCTGCCGCTGTTGAACCGCCTTTCTATTCATTTGAACTGGGCATCAAGCTAACTTTACCATTAGCATCAGCGATTATTTGTGCACATGATTTAAAATATAGCATATAGGGGTAATTCATTTACATAACACGAGTATTTTAATAGCACATCTTTAATTCTGTATACATCTCCTCCCGAGCACACTCAAACTACAGTCATAATACTTTTGTATAATACCGTGACACTATCCTGTAGGCTGCTTGATTAATACGTATATAAATACGTAATTCTTTAGCTTAACTAGGTCTAGAGCTACTGTAATGTAAAAACAGTCATTACTTTGCGTCTTACCTAGGCAATTAAGAAACTCAAGACGACAACAATGACTTAAAGTCGGACCTGGAGGGCTCGCCTTCCTAAGTTCCAGTACAGAATTAAAGGAGAGAGGCAGGTAAGAGCGAAAAGATTCAGTCACTTACTCGGCTCCACTGAGAGAACTGTGCCGCTCGCAAAAAGCAGTTTGTTGTCACCGCTGTAGACAGCACTTCGTTACAGCTCTCTACAACAACGCAGTGAAAGAGACCAAACTCGTCACAACCCGTTACTCTGCTCGCTTTGACGCCCTGGTCCACCAGCGAATCACAGTATTTAGCGGCTTATATAAAGCAATGGTTTAAGCATCTACACATTCCAGCTGCAGCGTGTTTATGTTCGATACTTCTGCGAAACCAGACACTTATTTCTTATTTAGACACGTCTCTTGGAATAGTGGAGTTTGCATCCACTAGGTTTTTCTAGTGTGTATAATACAGTTATAGTTAGTATATTGTATTCCTGTGAGAGAGCATTTTGAAATCAAATAGGTCATCCCCGCTCTCAACCAGCTTGAACCAGTAGCTTTCAGTTCAGTTTATTGTCAAATGCAGAAGTGCAATGAAATGCATATTTGCATGTATGCCCCAGTACAAAGACATTAAGGAAACACTAAAAACATAAACTCAGAACGGCAGCAACAATGAGTTAAATAACATACAACTTAAAAAACCTAAAAAAAACATCAGTGTGAGCCAGTGGTAGAGTAGAGTTCAGTAATCTGACAGCTTGTGGGAAGAAACCGTCTCTGAATCTGGAAGTTCTTGTCTTGATGCTCCTATAACGCTTCCCAGAGGGAAGGGGGGAGAAAAGTGAGAAACCAGGATGGCTGGTATCCATAGTGATACTTCCAGTCTTCCTGGAAGCTTTAACTGGCACCAGCTCGGACATGCAGGAGGGCGAACTGGTGTTTGCAGGTTTGCAGAGAAGAAGAGATTGCTGGCCGGCCGTGTGTGGAATCAGCCCATTGAGGCAGTGGAGTGGGTGAATCAGTAATCGGGCTGTTGTCGGTGAGAGAGAGGGTGGTCCATTGGAATGGGCTGGGGGGAGGGGGGAGGGGGGCACCGGCTGCACCTCCCAGGCGATTCGTCATCAGTCCATGTACAGCAGGCAGCTCCCTCCCCCATCACAAACCCATCACGTGCAGATTGCTAAGAGCTGGGGGTCTGAGCAAGGAGGAAGGCCCATCTAGACCATGTGGTAGCTAGTCGTTAACTGATCTGAGGATCTCCTCCTGCTGTTTCTTTAAAGTTTAGTATTCAGAGGTATACATTGTCTTACACTATCCTGAAATCAATTCAATTAAGGAATTAATGGTGGCACAGTCCTGCAGTGGTGAGCACTGCTGCCTCACAGCGCTGGGGCCCTGGGGTGCTGTCTGTGTGGAGTTTGCCCTTGGTTCCTCTTGTCAGCGGCCAGTGATTGGACCTGGCAGAAAAGGGGGTGAATTGAATTAATTCTGGACCCAATCCTTCATGGCTCTTTTATAAGTCTGGGGCTGTGTCTAATCTGAATCATCAGGATAGTCTCACAACAAACTGTAAGAGACATCGCTGTCGCATAACTCATCTGCTCCAAGTTCCTAAACACTGACGTACAGTATTCTTCTTCCACACACCAAAGTTGTTCCTTAAATGTCTTTTTTCTTGTTTAGACGTATAATATCTCTTGAGAGTGCACCTTTCTCTAAATAATGATTTGCTGTTGTTTATATTTGCATGCTTTCTGTTCTATTGTCTACCCTTTTGTTTTGGTGATCAATGCACACATGTGCCTTTCATGTTTATTTCATTCTTGAAATTGCAGTCTTTTTATCAAACTTTTTATCAAATGAATTCTTGAGTATTTCCATTGCAAATTAAGCCTCAACGTACCAATCCAACATATTTAATAATAATAATAATAATAATAATAATAATTGAATTAATCTTCAGTGACCTTTGCTAATGTTGAAGTAGGAAAATGATAAAGTCTCACACATGCACTATTTGCAAACTTTCAGTCTTAGACATAACAATTGAATTCACTAATAACTGAGATCTAAAAACCTTAATGAAATGCTGAAATGCCGCAATATCGTCTAATCAAAAAGTGTTAACCCAAACCGCACCCAGACATCCTATAATTGTGTTCAGATGGGGGTGGCGTCTCCAGTACAAGGCTGTCTCTGGAAAGAAATACCGAAATGTGGGGTTTTTGTACGAGGACTCTATGGGGCTGTACCACTGTGGTAGTCCACACAATGATACGACATCATACAAAAACATTCACAAGTATTGTCTATGTGAGAACGAGGAAGAGACAGAGACTACCAGACAGCACCAGAGCAGGAAACCACAGCATCC